CGATAAAACCATTGTGAGTCTTTTCTTGTGCACACAGCTGTCAGTGTCAAAGTCTGTTGCTCTAAAATCTGAGCTTAGTGAAATGGTTTTACAGAAAATATTTTCCGGTTGCTTCAAAATGTTCTGATTTTGGATAATCCACGAAATAAAATCTGTCTGGGAGCAAGAGCAATCGATGGGGTTAGAAGACAAATCAAAATCTGAAAGGTTTGTGGGCAAATTTTGGAGAACATGAAGTGGGATGCTAGTAATGCTGTTTTATCGACATAAAGGGATGTTAGTTGTTTCAGGTTTGGGAGGGCCAGAAAATCTATAGTCATCAAATGGTTACCTCTGAGATTCAAAAGTCTAAGCCTTTGAAGATTTTTGAATGAGCTTGGATGTAAATCTACCACACGACCATACGACATGGCAAGATGCTCTAGAAAAGTGAGATTATTAAATAAATATCTTGCTACATCACCCTGAAAATTATTGCCGGCAATCTTGAGAACATTAAGATTCTTCAGTCCACAAAAGCTGAATATGTTAGTAAAGGTGATTCTTGAATAAGAAACATCCAAATACCTCAAATACTTTAAGTTGGACAAAACTGAAATGTATCCGACGCGTACAACAGTTGAATGGTGGAAATCTAAAATCTCAAGGGAATCAAGTCCATCAAATCCTCCTACATCAAGACCAATTTCTGCATTTCAACTGAAATTCAAATATCTGATTTGAGGGGTGCCAGACAAAAGTGTGGTGCAGCATTGTTTTAATGTAATTCGGTTAGAACTTAAATCCAAATACTGAAGCTTAGGCATGTCTATGAAGGCATCAGCCCAAATAGGTGCACTGTTGTGTGCAATTACTAGTTTTTCTAAAGTATGGAGATGTGAAAGCTGTTTACCTGGCAAAGTACTTAACTTAATGGAAACCAAGTAAAGCTCCTTGATTTCACGAAAATGTACATACTCCATTTCATCGATTAGACCTCCGATTACTGCTACATTTGTGGCATTAATCATACAGCGAAAGACAGAAATTGGCTTACTAGGCTTTTCCATGATGTAATAATATACCTCCTGGAAATATATAGAGCACAGACCATCTAAAAAGTCAGTATCTGAAAATTGAAATCTGAAACTGTCCTTGTGCTTTCCAAATTTCAGCCTTTTGACATTAAGACCGTATAGAGCTTTAAGACCCAACTTTCTGAGCAGCAAATGAAATAAAGACAGATTGGATGTCCAGTTCTCAGAGAAGAATGCCTTTGAAAGCTCCTGGTTCAATATATAATAAGGGATTCCAAGAGAGAATCAGTCATGTTTCTGCCGATCTCTCGCAACACAGCAGTGTGATCAGTTTTGATGATGGATATATTATTGGCATGTAGATCAAGTAAACTGAAGTCCTTGAAGGTGCTCATGAATGAAGGGAGAGACATAGACTGGATGTTATTTGTCCCGACTCTAAGCTCCTGCAGCTTGGTTAGGTTATTCATTTGAAGCTGTAAGGATGAGAGACTAACATCCACAAGAACTAGTCTTTGTAGATTATGTAAAGAACTCAAGCATCCAGGTTCAAAGTATGTAATAGGGTTTCCAGTGAGAATCAAAGTAGTCAAATTCTTCACATTGTAGAAAGTATCATTTTCAATGTGCTTGATTTGGCATCTGAAAACGAATACATTTAATATAATTTATAGAGCAACACATTACACAACATATTTAGATGGCAACAATATTGCTTACCTTGACAGATCAAGGACTCGTAGAAAAGACAAAACCGGGAAAACAGTCTTCTGTAAGCGTTTCAAAACATTAAAACTGAAATCCAGAGTTTGAATGGAGGAAGGAATACTGGGTGGTATACAGCTGAGGTTTCTTCCCATGCATGAGTAGTGCTGATTCTCAGTAACCTCCAGTTAAAAAAAAAATTAAAATAAAAAAACAAATTTCACACACACAAAGTAATACTAAGGAAAATATTTAAAATTAGAAAACTTACTTTAGTACACAATTCTCCAGCCCCAATAGAAAAAAATATAATGAAAGAACTAATAATGAAGAAATTCATCTTTACTCTTCTCATCAAGATTTTCTCAACCTCTCATAAAATAAGCCAGACTAGTTTGAGGTCATTGAATACGAGGAACTAATGCCATGGTTTTAAACAATGAGGAATTTTGGCTGAAAATACATAAAGAGAAGTAATCTTGAATAAGCAATTCATTTCCAAAAACATTTTAAAAGACTTTAAATAAAAGTTTCATAAAGAAAATTACCTCTGCAATTCATAATAAATCATGAATTGTTGAAACCGACATTTACACTCCTAAATCTCCAGTAACCATGATCAACAACAACACAGGAAAAGTTTAACTGACTGCTCAGGACTTTGATAAATAATATACTGGCCTAAATGTAAAAAGCAAATCCACTATACCCGTTAAGAGAATATCTACACATGTAATCTCAATCATTGGAAACAAAACATATTTAAACCTAAAAGCAAGGCACACAGAAGGATGATGAACATACCAGCAGGTGGCCCTGCACACACATATAACACAAGGTCACTTCAGTCAGAAACTTGCATTTCCTGTTTACTTTGGTACCAGGATAACCTTACCAATAATGACTCTTCTAGTATGATCTGACCTTCAGATTTGAACAACAATCCTACAAATTAAATGTTAAATATTAAGTCACCAATAATGTATCTTCCTCGATGAGAGGATAAATACCATTTAAACAATGTTAAATACACTTTATACAGCAAACCTTGATGAAAGCAGACAGGTACTATAAAAACACTTTATGAACCTGTTGATAGTCAACAACCTTTATTTATCCATATATGTGAGCCACTTAAAGATGGGGGAATAGACAAATAGGACAAGAATTGACCGCTATAGAGGGCAATCAACATATGGATCAATGGCAATGTAACTTTCTTTAACCTCTATTCTACAAAGAGGCTTGTTGACAGACAAGTAAATTAAAAGACAGAAGTGTAAACATTCATGTACAGAGAAGCAAAAAAAAAAGTCAGAAGTCAAATTAAAACATTGATTAGTACGTACAGAAACAAAAAGGAAGCAGGAGCCAAAACATTTTTTTTTTCCTATTACTGCTCAGCATATATTTCTACATAGCATGCAATAAGGCACCTAACTAACACAATGAATAAACCTATGCTACGTGATGAAGCACAATTGTTATCCAATGAAAAAAACAAAAAACAAAAAAAAAAGTAGTTCTGATACAACGTTCACTCCCATAAAAACAGTATTCCTTTCATTTCCCTTTCAATTACCCAAACCTTATTAAAAAAATACATCAGTTTGTAAAAGACTTTCTCCATACACAGAACTGTAAATAGAAAGCACAAACCCATGGAATTAAAGGGGGGGGGGGGGGCAAAAAACAAAAAAATTTAAAAAAAAAAAAGCAATTTTTTGTGAGGCATTCCCATTCCTTCCACATTTGCAGAGGCAAATGAAATATACCAGCTGCTGGCCAATGAGACAGGGACTTTTTAACTGCTTATCCAACTAAATAAAACCATATAAAAGGGACCAAATTATTAAAAAAGTGCTACAAATGAATATGCAAAACATGTTTAATGATGTGAACATACATTGAAACAAATAATAAAACATACCAGCAGTGTTAGACAGAGAGAGAAGGGCTGTGATTATAATGTTAACATTTTACCAACATTGGTATTTGTACTACAAACTGAAAATGACAAGAAATGTTACACTGTCCATGTGATAATCCGTAACATTTACCATTCGTAACCATAACGGCTCTTTAAATCTGGCCCCTCTACTGTTTTTAGGGACAGCACCACAGAGGAAGCTTCAGGTCTTGATGCTGTATCATAGTGCAACATTGTACCAATAAATTCAAAAAAAGCAAGCTATATTTTGTATTTGCATTAAAGTATACACAATCTATTATTATTATTATTATTAATAAATGTTGATACTCTGCAAAATGTATCCAGAATACAACTAAATGCTATACATTGCTGTCTGACTTGAGCAATGACTGGGCAAATTTTAAAGGCGCAGTCAACCATTGGTAACATAGGTGGGTAGCAGGGAGAAGCACTGAAGACATTTAGGGGAATACTTAGGCTGTACCAAGTCCACTTATAACAAAAACGGCTGTACAATTCAGTTGTGTTGAAAACTGGCAACATGAAAAGTGAACGAAATTTCATAACAGAACAATGTATACATTATTTGATTTTGCTGGGTTTACCCTTTATGATCAAGATCTACTTTTCTCAACTTGACTCGATGTCCAAGATGACATTTCTTGCCCCTCACTTTTGTGCTGCTCTCAAGTTAACTTCCGGAAGTTAGTCAAGTTAATATGCTGTTTTAGGTTGTAGATTCTGTTGGTTTGTGGCATATAGGGTTTATGATAATTAATATAGCCTTAGACTAGCTTGTTCAAAACTAGTGTCATCTCCTGAAAGTACCATCCCACTTCACCTACAAGAGATGGATAAGACTAACTGGATCATACATAAAAAAAGCTCAAATTTTTTCAGAAAAGAACGGCACACTACTCAACTATACAGCCATATAAAAGAAAATCAACATATATTTACACATGATATCAGTTTCTCAACCTATTAATGATACAGAGATGGGGAAAAGATACAAACTAGGGGAGTGAATAGTTGTGTCTAGACCTATTTGCGTAATTATCTACCATTCAAAACCGACTTGACCTAATACTCAGTTCAAGATTGTGCCAGATTTCAATATACTTCCAGCTTAAAGCACAAGTCAGTGATGAAGTTTTGTCTACGGTTTTAATCACACACCATGTTCCAGAATGACATGTATGGATCTAGTCATGTGAACATTACACAGGGGATTTCAGTATCAATCATACCAAATTGAAATTCATTGCGCTTAAAAAGCCAAAGGATTTGATTTTACAAGTTTTCTCAGAGCAGGTCCACACCAACTTTCTGGATTTTCTTGCATCTTTTGCCAAAACCTTTAACATTACAAGCTGGCCTGAATCATGAAATGAATGGTAGCGCACCACTTGTGGGAGAGAAAAACAGGCTTACTGATCAATATGAATTCTGTGATGCCTAGACAGAGAAGACGAATGATTGAAACCCTTTCCACACTGAGCGCACCTATATGGTTTCTCACTCTGAAGGATTCTCTGTTTCAAGATGGTAGTGTGGGGGAATCCCTTTCCTGTTGCAATAGCACTATAAGTTGACTTATCCTCCAAATGAACCCGCTGGTGCCTTGCAAGAGAGGAGGGATGATTGAACCTCTTCCCACACTGAGCACAGGTGTAGGACTTTCCATCAGAATGAGTTCTCTGATGCCTGGATAGTGATGACGAATGATTGAAACTCTTCTCACAATGGTTGCAGCTGTATGGCTTTTCACCTGTGTGCATTCCCCTTTTCAGCGTAGTATCGAAGGGGAAATCCTTATCGGCCTGGGCATACATCTTGGCCTCCAGGTGGACCTTGTGGTGTCGTGACAAGGAGGAAGAATGGTTGAAACCCTTGTCGCACTGAGAGCAGCGGTAGGGCTTTCCACCCTGATGGACCAGCTGATGCTTCTTGAGGTGGCGTTTCCTTACAAAGCTCTTCCGACACTGGGTGCACTTGTAGGGCTTCTCCCCTGAGTGGATTCTCTGATGCTCTCTCAACGTGGCTGCTGCTGCAAAACACTTTCCACACTGGGTGCATCTGTGCGGCTTTTCACCAGCATGAGTCTTCTGGTGCTGCTTGAGATTGGAAGCCGTCATAAAGCCTTTTCCACACTGAAGACAGGTAAAAGGCTTGTCGTGGGCATGCAGCTCTTGATGTTTTTTCAAATGACGTCTGCGCACAAAGCTTTTTCGACATTGGGTGCATTTGTAGGGTTTGTCATCCGAATGCATTTTCATGTGTTCCCGGAGAGTGATGGCAGCAGCGAAGCTTTTGCCACACTCTGAACATCTATGTGGCTTTTCAGGAGAGTGCATCATCTGGTGGGGTTTCAAGTTGAAGGCATCAATGACTCCTTTACCAACCATCTCAAGACCAGTGGTATAACTTTTCTCTTTCATGTGAATCCTCATGTGACTTCTTAGGCTGGCTTCAACAGCGAAGCTCTCACCACAGTGGACACAAATGTAGGGGTGAGTGGCTTTGTGGATTTCAAAGTGTTCGTGCAGATCAGACATACAGCCAAAAATCTCACCACACTCACTGCATTGCAGGCCATGGGCTTCATGTATGATAACGCCATTCTCTGACTCCACTGTAAGCTCCCCTCCGTGGTCAGACTCCACCTTTACGATATGTTCTCCACCACCTATCTCCGTCTTCAACAGCACCTCACCGAGCAAATGCTCATTGCCTTTGATTTCTGCACTGCTGAAGTATTGATGATGATCATGGTGTATTTCAGATTTAATGTAGTCATGGTCGGTCTCTGTTACCACATCCACACAGGTCACTGCCCCTAAATCACCATGAATAGCCTCTAGGTCAAGTCTTTTGTCCTCCTGAGTCATAATCTCAGTTTCCGCTCCATAATGCAAGTCACCAACTTGCGTATGGGCAATGACACACTCAGATCCCAATGTATCGAGACCTGGTGTGTCACAGTCAGTCTCTGACTCAGCCATCAGTACACACTCCAGCCTGACGACTTCCGTCTTCCCGGTTAAGTGAAACTTAGCGTTGCTCTACGAGCTCCGCTTTCCCGCAAAGAAACTTGAAGGGTTGCCCGTCACAGGCTCAGTCAGTTCTTGAGTCAGGATCAGCCCTGCCTGTTGGAAGACAGCAAACATTTAAACTCATCTGCATAATCATAATGAAATACTTCAGCTGAAAACACTTAACTTTTATATTGATTTTACCGCCTGAGAAAAAGTAAAAGCATGAAAAAACATGCAGAAAATGAAGTCGTGATCTTACTTTTTAGTAAACAAGCATTACAATAAATGAATTTCTGCCATTTCATGTGACAAAGAAACACACAGCTTCAACATAATGAACAATAGGCAAATTATAAGTTTAGACAAACTTGAAACCTACAAAAAAAAAAAAGTTACGAGGCCATAAAATAAGTTGACACAAATACAACAATCAATATCCTTTTAAGGAAGAAAAGAGGGCTGCATAGACAAACAGAACTATGACCTGGGCTATATACGCCACTGCTTGCAAAAACATTTTATGGTTAAAAATTGTAAACAAAATGAGGCTGATCTAGAAACAATCATAAAGCTAGTTAGCAGAAATACCTCTGGCTACAAATTGGCTAAGGTTAGCCTATAGACAGTTTATTTTTGGCTAACTTGACAGGCTAGGTATATATGAATCTACTGATCAGACATTTAAATTTCTCAAGCCAAATGAACAACATCAAACAACAATGAAACCCTTTAAACATGCCATCAATTTAGAATCAACTAAAACCCATGTTTTCAACTCTCACAACTTCCACACAGCTGGTTTGCCACTGCTGGCTAGGTTAGCTGGCTAAATAGCTGCTAGTTAGCTTCCTTGAGCATGTATTATCAGCTAACTAGCACTATAGCTAGATCTTAAAATACTGAATTGAAAAGGTGACAGGCCGCCTTGAATTCTGAAGTTTACTTATCATTTCTCAGTCATACATATACGTCTTAGTTGCGTTAAAGTCACGTAGAGACTGATTCGAGAAAATACAAGGCGTTTCAGGGTGGGCATCTTGTGCACCAGAGGTTGAAACGGCTACCTAGCTGTAAAATGGCCGCCGCGACTAGCTTCCGCCCCTCATATAAGCACGCAGAGGCAGCACACGACGTGAGCAAATGCAAATAAACTAGGTCATGTTAGTTGACTAGTTTTAATGCTCGCTGGGAAGCTGTGCTGTCGTAGCTCTAAAAGGTCCAGACATCAAGGCATAAACAAGGCAAACAGCTCGAGTTAATGGCTAATCACAGATGTAAGCTATTCGCGAAAGCCCGGGAAAGGCGCCCCCCTTTTTACATAACGCGTTTTTGTTTCGTGGCGTCGAATTAAAAGCAATATAACATGTTCTCAACGTCTTCTGTGGCTATACGTTATTCTGTAATCATCCAAATCATCTGCATGGCGCTGCTATAAGCTGTGCTTATCGTGCTATAGTCCTAGCCCATTTTTAGCTGCGTGAAACAAACATGGCCTGTTTTCCTGCTAAGCTGCCTCGCTAGCGGAACACTAGCTGCCCCCGCCGCCATTGCTACAAAACACCTCCGAACTCCGTGGCCTCCACAATCCATCGGTAGCGCGGACCGAGCGCCACAATCACCGTGAGCTCATAAAATGCATCAAAATACAGCATATGCCGCAACCAATGACATAACGTAAATTAAATAAGAGCACTGGATCAAATATAGCACGCTAGTTAGCCAGCTAAGTTAAATAGCAAAGGTAATCTAAAAACCTTGACGCACATACACATTAAGCGTTCATATATTAACGTATTTTTGTAAACATTTCCGACCTCTTGGCCCTTTAATGGCTCTTTCGCGAGATGCGCTGCTGGTCGCCGCGGCGCAGTCTACAGCCTGAAGATCTTGGTTCGGTTGCGGTTTCGGTCACTCTTTCTCTCTTTCTCTCTTTCTCTCGCTCTCTCGCGCTCTCCCTCCGTACGCACGTAGCGGGATGGCGCCGCGGATCATCTGGCGCCAACTATGTTGGAGCGCATGAGCACAAAAAAAAAAACAAAGCGTTGAAGAAACAAGCGCTCGACCGCCCCCTGTCGTCCTGGCAGAAGGAACATTCGCCTTCAGACCCAACTAAATTATACTTTATATATAAAAAAAATAAAAAATGAAAAACAGGGTAACACTTTACAGTAGGGTTCAATTTGTTATTGCATGAGATATCATGGGCTAACAATGAACAATACCTTTATAGCTTTTATTAAACATGGGTAATGTTAATTTCTACATTCACTAACACATTGAAACATTTCAAACTGCGTAAACTAACATGAATGTATTATGAACTGACATAATAATACATGAATCTAGATGTTATGATAAAATGACAATTGTTCGTTTATATCTAATGCATTAACTAATGTTAAGAATTGAACCTTATTAAACCAAAACGGCAATACATTATTACTGAACTCACCTAATAATAAACTACAAGCAGTGTTGGGGAAAGTTACTTTTAAAAGTAATGCATTACAATATTGCGTTACTCCATAAAAAAGTAACTAATTACGCTACTTAGTTACTTTTTATGGAAAGTAATGCGTTATGTTACTTTTGAGTTACTTTTTAAATCTGGACAGGGCTTGCTTGTTTGTTTTTAAAATAAAAAATGTTCTATTTTTGGCAAATATAAAAGCCTTTTCACACCAAAAGTGAAATGAATAAGCCTCAGGCTGAAGAGAAAGTAAATTTACGTCCATACAGTAGAACGCAGAAGAAGAAATTTCAACACACTTCAGCAAGAAAAAAAGACGCACAAATGTTTGTCTAGAGTAATTTGTGCTTATTAGTATGGTTGAACTGGATCATCGAAGGTCAGAAGCAAAGACATTGGTTAATAGAATGGGATTAAATACATAAAGGATATTTGTGTTGTTTAACATTGTAGTTGGGGAATGTTATTTTTCATGTCAATACAAAAACATATGCCTATAGTACACATGCTCTTATTTCTATTGCTAACAGATTTATGCAGATGTTGTCACAAGACTGTCTGTCTGGTCCCCTGTAAAATATAATTCAGTTTTGACATATGAATATTGTGCTGTATATCTAACAACAAGAAATAAAAGCAAAGAGAATGACACCATTTATCAACACTTTTTATTTCTGCAAATTACCTACCATTTGTACATAGATAATAGAGGTTTATTCCTCGTAATGTTCAGACTTTCTCTCTGAACAACAAAGAATCCATGTACAAAAACAATTAATCAGTTCAAATGTAAAACTGTAATGAATTAAGTATATAAACACACTACCTACATTCAGTTCTTAGTTTGTTTGTTTTTTCATGAGGGGTGGGGCAGTATATTTACATTTGTGGAATTATATAATTTTTTTTACATTATATAACTAAACTCAGATGCTGAGCTACATTTTATTTCCTTAAACATTCATAACAGGTGTAAGTTTGAGTAATGAACTCTGAGGGTGAATGCCATTGGAGTGGAGCTTTTCAAGGTTCTGCAGGAAACCACGATGCTTCAGTCCTTTAAGTATTGCTGAGTCACTGCAAGCTACACTCATATGTGTCCTGCAAATAATCAATGAAATAGCACAATTTTTAATCTTGGATGAAATCATCCGTAAAACTTTCAGATATGTATCTCCAAATATTAGTAAATGGTAAGTGTTTAAATACTGGCAACCATGAACCCTTGAGCTGTACTTAGTGCTTGAATCTGATTGCAGTACGAATATTTACGTAGATCTTTCAATTGTAGCAACATTAAGTGACTACATTTATGGATCAAATGCATATCTCAGATGAATGACCTCAGACTAACCTTGGAGAGTCAATCCCGCTATCAGCTGTGTAACTCTGACTCTCTGTGGTTTCTCCTGCACAGGCCCCTGTAGGGCCATTTAGGCTTGCACTGAAGTTGCCAGCATCCTCAGATGTCTCATTTGTTCTCTGATGGCAGTCTTTTAATTCTGGGTGACAGATCCAGTGGTTAGATTTGCCAGCTTCTGCTTCATCTGCAGATTTATGTATGGTATCAGAATCGGACTCCACTTCGCTTGCCTGACAGTAATCAAAAATACTGCTTTCCAGGGCTTCGGTTTGTTCATCATCTCCCAAACTGGATTCTTGTAGTCTTTTCCTCAGACCCTGCACTTCTTGTCTGGGGCTAGCACCTTTCTGAAGGATCTGGTGATCAGAAGGCTGCCATCTGTATTCATGCGACCTGTATGTGGTTCTGGTGGGTTTGTGATGAGTATGTTCCTCAACGAAATGTCCATCCCTGCCACCATCTGCACAAACAGGCTCACTGCAATGAGCTGTAACGGTCTGTGATATCTCACAGTCAAGAGCGCATTCCCACTCAAACCTGGAAATGTTGTTGGTTGATTCATATACATACAGCTTATCATATTTTATCATAACACATTTAATGTAGTAAGAACGTATAGGTGAGAAAATATCACATACAGTGAGTGAGTGAATGTTCAATCCTTCATATGTGTATTTATATATATATATATATATATATATATAGATGCGATATTCATCATCTGTATACACTTCTCTCTCAGTCTGGCTTGTGTTTCTGTCCAATGTTTGACCATCTGAGAGCTGATGGCTAGTACTATTGCTAACTTGCTGGTGTGAGCACAACAGATCAGGACGGTGATGAGACTCTTCTTTACTGTTCAGTAGATGTAGGGAAAGTCTATGTTGAATTGTAGGTTTAGGCCACGAGAGGGGTACTTCTATTGTATCACAATGTGTAGCATGATCTACAATGTTCTTTTGGTCATGAACATGTCTTAAGTCTCCATCCTGACGTTTAATTTCTCTTACTCTGCCATTCCTGAACTCCCTACTTCGGACTTTATTCTCTCTCAGCCTGATTTTGTCCTCTATCCTTAATGTGCTGCTCTCAGGGTACGCAGAGCTATAAACTCCACAAAGCTCTTGAATCGGTTGAACATCCAAGGTGGAGTCTACAGTCGGTGCACTTTCATGGAGCTGTTCGCAGGGTGCATCC